GGACATGTTCAGGGCATAGCTTTGGAAAGGAAATCCCAACCTCTCCCCATGTGGAAGGTGATTATGTCACGTCCTATTAAGTAATCCTCTGGTGGGAAGGATTTACCTTGGGGACATTTGTAAGCCCTCATGTCACATCCTCATCATAATCACCCCCCCCCAGGCTCTCTAACTGCTGACATGTTCTGCATGAGGTACCAGTTTGACCCTGATGAGAAAATTAACTTCATTTTATCTTTCTATTTTATTTGAAATAATACATCTTCCTAACACAGTATACACCTAATTCTCCATCAGCACTATTCACCAGGTTCAATAAGTATGCTTTTCAACTAAATAACATTCATGGCACACACCTGAAATAATATTCTTTATGATTACAGAAGTAACTCATAAAGGTTTTGAAAGAAAAAGAAATACATAAAGAAACTGAAAGTCACTCATAATGCTATAACTCATCTTGTAGGAATGCCACATTTTGATACCTGATATACATTTGGAATATATATTTATATTTGAGCAGGGTATTTTGGTGCAGCATTCACAGTAAGGATTTTTGAAAATATTTTATGATCTACTTTTATTATTGTGCATGTATTTGGAAAAGAAAATTTTATGTTTTTAACATTTGGTCACCAAATATTGAATTAAAATTCAGTAGTGACCTGTCAGGAAAATTCAAATGGTGGAATGGAGGTGAATGGAAGACACTGATATAGATGATAGATAGATAGATAGATAGATAGATAGATAGATAGATAGGAACTCAAGCCCTTGCGCTTGCCAGGGAAGCACTTATTCCACTGAGCCATCTCCCTGGCCCTCTTAATATTTATATTAAACATGCTATACTATACATCAGTTTCATGAAAAATGTTCTACAAAGTGCAAGGTTGTCAGGAGAGGTCAAAGGCATTGGAAACTACCTGTGATGCTCAGCATATACTATACTCTGAGGAAGTAATACAGTAACATTTGTGGAGCTCCTCATCTGTCAGGCCAAGGGCTAACATTTTGCAATCGATGTCTCATTCATACATTCCATCCGTGGTGAAGACTGAGTTGTCTAGCTTCTATGTCTATAAAATAAAATAAAATAAAATAATGTAGGCTAAGATATTTGCAACCAGAGAAAATGAAAGATAGAGGATGGATTATACGCAGAAATATTTCAGTCCAGCTGTGGTTTTCTAGAGCCCACTGCCTCCTGGAGCTGCAGCTGCCAGCCATAGTTACCCACACTGTGTTCAGCCCTGCCACAGCCTATGGGCTGCATCTCCTTCTAGCTAATTCAAAGATAGCAGAAAACTTTTGTGCTCTGGGTTTTGGAGAGAACGAATTTGGCTATAAGGGTTCCTGGTTTCCCAAAAATTCTCTAGTATATTTATGTACCTGGGTAGTGACTTTACATGCCACAATGACCCTGATGACAAATCGGGGAGAAATTCGATAAGAATCTCACTCTGAAGTACAAAGATCCTGTCTTGCTCATGACAAATGCTGGACTGAATACAAGTGGGGCTAGGTTTTTCACCTACACTGCCACATGTGAATGGTTAGACAGCAAGTCTTTGGGAATATGAAAACGACCATGGAGGCGATGGAAGCCCTGCAGCTTTAGGTCCAAAATGGCAAGATCAGCAGGAGGCTCACCATGACATCGGTGGACAAACAGATGCAAGCAAACTACCTTTGGCTTGACTTGGGTCCCATTTTAACCAACAGACTTGTAGCTCAGGAGAGCATCCCTCCCACCTGCAGTATTCTATAATCCTTGTGTTTTGCTGGAATTGTTTTTTGGGTCCCTTATTTTCCTTAATCCTCTCTAAGAGTAGTTGGATTGCACAGTGAAGTTCATGAATATGAAATAAAAACTAAATAACAAAAGTAAATAAATTCATTTTATATCCAGGTAAACTGCAGAAGTCTATTTCTCTTTTATTTTGAGCATGGAGGCAGAGCCTAAATATTAAAATATATTGAGTAGAATTTTCCATTATAATAATGCTGTGTAATTTGTTTTTACATCAAATATACTCTGGGTACTACCATATCAAGATTGGTTGGTACAAGAGACTACTTACAGTCTGGGAATCACTCCTTCCGCTGATCTATAGCTAATAGAAGATGGCTTTGGAATGCATTTCTCTAAAGCTATAATCGGATATGCTATGGGTGCACATCACAGTCCTCTGAATGCAAAGCGGCATGTGATTTACTGCCCTTACAGGAAATGCAAATTTCATCTGGTGGGTGACAGGCTAAAAGTTCTCTTTTCACTGCTGATGTTGTAGAAATAGCTGACTGTCAGAACAGCATTTTAGATAGTCCCTTCTCTGGATAGTGTAACATAAGACTCCTGTAGACTTACTGCTAAACGTAATTGTCACAGGTATCCTCGGACGTACTGGACCCATGAGAAAATTGCCACACATTCCTGAGGCTAAGGCCTTTGTGAGTTGTAGGATATTCCTCTATATGAGTGTTTGTCTTAAAGCTAAATTCTGCCCAAGGACGACTCAGACAATTACTTCATTGGCTAACACTTTGCTCTGATTTCTCTTTACAGTAGATCTTGACAGCCAAACTCTACAGGGCTGCTTTTAAGTGGATAGACTCTTAATCTGCTACAGTAAGGCATGAATTCCCACTTGAAGTACTACTGCGATGCTTTAGCCCAGGAAGTTAACATTCCTTGGCCAGATTTATGGGGTCCTTACAAAAGTTAAATCAATGCATGTGAAATTCTCAGAACAATGCCTTGCTCAAACAATGATGTCCATAATCAATGTGCTAGGTGTGTGAGCACTCAGGTGGGTGAGGTAAATAAGGAGAAGAAAGACAAATAAATTAAATCAGACACTTGCCTAAGGCCATATGGTTGCAGGACTGGAGTCAGATAAGTTATTCTCATTTCAGTCTTTTTATTTTTCATAATAGATTGCTTTGCTTTCTTAATTAAACACATAGGGTATCTGCAGCAGTTGACTTTTAAATCTGGTGTCTTGTCAACAAATGTAATTATTGGGCATATACATTGCATCAGACATAGGAATGAGGCAACACAGGTATAATAACAGGGCTCACCTACAACTACCAAATCTCATATGTACGCCTACACACCAACACACATGACCATGGAGAAGCGTGCATCTGTAGTCACAATACACTCTCTTTCAAAAGAAAGCCTAGAGTCTGCATATATTTTGCTTCAGGTTATGACTCAGTCAAAAGTTGGGCATTTACTTAGAAACTCTGCACCTTGTCTACCCCCCTAAAAAGAAATAGTAATAACGATAGTGTCTGACCTGCAGGGTTACGAAGATTGATAAAGATACCGCGCGGCATCTGGCACTGATAAAGTTTCATTATGTACTAGCTAACTACCTTCTTTTCCTCATAGCTCTGGGATTACCTGTCCTGATCTTTTTGTCTGTTTGCCCCACTGGAGCTAGGCTCCTAATGGGAGAGGACCTGCACCAGTGTTGGGCACAAGGCAAGGATTGCTGTAAAAAGAACTTTAAAGCAAATTAGTGACTGTAAAATAATTTAATAGCACTGGGAAAAAAATGAAGGAGATACCCTACATGAACAAAAATCAGGGAAGTTTTAATACCACTTTCTCACAAGAAACTCTGTCTTCCTGTGTTAAAAAGGAGCAGCTGCCCAGAGAGAATCAGCTGAAGAAACCACAACTACTTTTGGTAGAGCATAGGCAGTTTAGTGAATGTCTTTCTCCCCACTGCAGGTTGGTATCACTTGCCAGTGCACCTGTCTTTGTTTTGAGTTCAGGCCAACTTCCACTCCCCAAACTTTTGTGGCTGTCAAAGGCCTGCCCCTGAGATTCCACAGTGTCACAGTTCCCAATGTCCTTGTTCTATTTCAAAACTGGAGTGCAGAGTTTCATTTCATCAAATGCAGTGCAGATGCCTTCAGAGACTGAGCCTGTATGTACGGAGGAGCCCACCACACACTTCCAGTCATTACATGATTAATACTGGAAGTAATTACGATAGTCCTGGCATACAGCAACCACCCTACAAATGGTTGTTATCATCCATTCATTCAATAGGTTGTACTCAGGATCATTTATGTGCCTGTCGGTGTGCTACGGTATGAGATAGAAAGGAACTAAACAAAGCAGATTTCTTTTCATGAAGATTAGAAGTTTGGGGTCAATGGATGGAGTTTAGAAAATAAGCAAGGATCAGCACACCGAGCAGAACAGGTCGTCTTAAGGGGTGGATATAGATCGTATTTTTGGTGGGTCTAGGCCTCAGCTACCTTGTTTAACACCGCTGTTGTAGTATTTTCTTAAATTTTAAAATGTGTTTTATTAAGACACAATTTAGGTACCATACTCATTGTAGAATTTACTGTCTTTTAGTGTACTCAGTTATGCAACCATCTCTGCTAATTTTAGAACATTTTTATCACCACAACACTCCCACCCCACCCCCAAAGCCCCATACTTCTTAGGTTGAGCAAAAATCAAAATATAAAATGGCATATATAAAGAACAAACATGTTAATATGAGTCGATGATAGGCTTTTGCTATTGTCAGTGAGGTTAGGATGTCTCCCCTGTGTGTGTGTGTGTGTGTGTGTGTGTGTGTGTGTGTGTGTGTGTGTAATGTGTAACTCAATTCAGAAATGTATATATGTGGAAGTACAGGTTTGTGAGATAGACCCTGGGTGAAGTGATAATTCGAAGGTCAGGCTGAGGCACTCTGGAGTTACGCACCTGGCTTTGAGTCTGTGGGAAGTAACTTGTTTGTGTTCGTCGTGAATTGTGACCCTGTCTGTTTAGTTTGGGGTCTACTGATTTTTGTGCATGGGAGACTCAGAGACTTGAGTTTGAGAGGCCCACTAAGGAGTCCGCGTGTGTAGACCGGAGTAGGTGTACACGCGTGAGTCGAGTTTCCGAGGGTGAACATTTGCGAGCCATTGGGACTGCTTCTAAGTGGAAACAAGTTGGGAGCGGGCAGGCGGCTGGGTGGCGCGGCGAAAGAGTGCGCGCCAAGTCCGCGCTGTGTTTGTGATGCACACCGGCGCCACCGCAGCCCCGGAGGCCGCCCCAGGGTTGGGGGTGCCCGAGGAGGTGCGGCCGGCGGGGAGAGAGCTCGGGGCCCCGCGCCGCCGCGCGCTCGCGGGCTGCTGGCTCGCAGGGGACAGACAGGAACCGGAGCAGTACTGCCGCCTCTGGCGCGAGCGCTCAGCGCCTCCTCCCGCCCCAGCCACTGTGGCTCGGCGCGCGCGGCCGGCGGCTGCCCTTTCCGCCTCCGGGGAAGCAGACTCACGGGCCTCTGTGGGGCTTGCACCATGGCTTCGGGCCGGAGGGGCTGGGACAGTTCCCACGAGGACGATCTGCCCGTGTACCTGGCCAGGCCGGGCACCACCGACCAGGTCCCGAGGCAGAAGTACGGCGGCATGTTCTGCAACGTGGAGGGCGCCTTCGAGAGCAAGACGCTGGATTTCGATGCCCTGAGCGTGGGGCAGCGGGGCGCCAAGACCCCCAGGAGCAGCCAGGGCAGCACCCGCGCCACGGGGAGCCGGTCTGGAGAGGAGAGGGACTCCCCGCGCAAGGGCCAAGGCCGGCAGGACAGCGGGGAGCCCGCGGCGGCGTCGCCCGCGCCAGCCGGGGTGGAGATCCGGAGCGCCACCGGCAAAGAGGTGCTGCAGAACCTCGGTCCCAAGGACAAGGTAAGGGGGCCCAGGTCTGTTCTAGGACTGTTCCAGTCCCCTGTCCCAGTCTGGCCCGCTAGGTTTGGGGGCACAACTTTCTCTAGCTCACTTTGCAAGAGGATGGGGGACTAGAGTGGAGGAAAAAGGCATCCTCTTCTGAGTGTAGGACGACCTCCTAGCCCTGTCCCCGGATTCGCACGTGTCCCCCACTGCAGCATCTTTGTGTCCATGCTGTAAGGGCCCCAGGCCCCCTGCTTCCTGGGCTCCCCTGCTGCCCCACCGTGGGCTATTCGTTCTGGGTGGGTGTGTCAGCCTGGCCACCCTGGGAAGCCTTAGTGATTTCCTGACTCTCTCTCCATCTGAGAACCAACAGCACAGTTGTCTCGGCCTTCTCTGGCCCTGGATTCAATCTCAGCCCGGGTCACTGGGGCAGAGGGCACACTGATGGTAGGAAAACGGGGTCATCTCCATAGTACCCTGATAAAAGTACAGGATAAGCGTCTCCCCTCTCTCTTCAAACATCAGCTCTGCTCCTGAAACTTTCGAGTGTGGAGACGCTAGACTAAACACCCCAATCTCTATGCCTTGCTCTGTCCTAGCTCAGTTCACATCTGTGTTTGTAAGAGTGTGTTTGGGTACAAGTCCTGGTGTCACCGGGATCCAGCTGTCTCTGCAATAATATTATTATATAGTTTTTAAAAATAGAGCAGGGTATTAAGGGTGCACATTAAACTCGCACGAGCTGCAAAACTCTGGCTGCTGTTCTTGAGCTAAAGCATTTTAGAGAGCCTCATGCCACGCTGAACTGGTGGAGGAAGAGATGGCATGGAAATCCAGCTTTTTCTGATTCATGTGTTTATTCTTTTTCATATACCATCAGAGCCGGAGTTGATAAATTCAGTCTGGGCAAGGCTGTAGGATTCCAAGTTCAAACTGATGCTTTTGAGTTGGGGAACAATAGTAATCAGATGCCCTCACCCTGGCCTAGTAATGGCTGCGAGTCCATCTGCATATATTACTCTGCACTAATACCATGGTGAATAATAACCTGAAATGGAAATGTTGAACAATCACAGTTAATGCTTACCCAGGTCTTAGTTGTTTTTCCACTGAAAAGCAATGAGCTAGTGAAAGGACAGCAAATCTCCCTTGTTTGATTTTGAAAAGTTAAAAAAACAAACTTTCAACTCCGGCTACCACCGGGAAAGCAAGAACTGAAGCTAGCACTGTATAAAGGTGCTATTTGTGAAATAATGTCGGTATCCCTTGGAATCACTCATGTAATTTGGGATTTTCACTTTCTCAGTTCCTCGTGGTATTCCTCTAGGATGTCTACGCCCTGCCCAATTGCCCTTTTAGGGAAAACTTCTGCTATCTTGGAAAAGCTTTGGTGGATTTCTGAGCTATTGTATAGCCCTGTATAAAAAAGCTACTGCTTTTCTTCAGCTCTGACTTGATCAGTACTGAAGTGCTCTCTTCCTGGCTCTAAAGGGTGGGGAAAGTGATGGAAAAGGTCAGTAACAATTGCTGTGAGTCAATGTATTCCCTGTGCTGGAACACCCCTGATGTAAGCTGGATAATATGCTTGGTGTGCAAGATTGAAGAACAGTAACTAGAGAAAGGAAAAAAATGTTCCTCCTTGAAACCCAGCAATTCTCCATCTCCCTCCCTTTCCTAAACCCTATACTTTTGGCTCCTAATTGAAAAATAATAATACGACTTAAGCATCAGCAGGATTTCTAGTGCTACATGGTTATTTGTAAGTTGGGGCTTGCTGTTGGCTGCATCCAGGCCATGCTATTATCTTTCATTTGGTTGAATCACACTGTTTAAAAAAATCTATTGAGCTTATCTAGTCTACTGTAATTAATGGCTGTTTCTATGGGGCTAAAGGTTGTATGTTTGTATTTATCCTTGTGGCTGGAATACCTGATACATTGGAGGTTTCAATATGTGTTGGATACCTCAGACTGTCTTCATGAAGCAAGTTTTGCCTTTGCTTAACCATTGCCATTGTTGGGGAGTTCACTATCTCATCAAACAACTTTCAGGCAACTTTCCTTTAAAAATAAACTAAGTCTAAATCTGCCTGCTTCTACAATTTGCTGTTGCGTCTGCTTAAAAAGTTAGAGTGGTGCCGCAGTAACAAGCATCCCTAAATGTCAGTAACTTTGAGCAAACAGTAACAGTTTATTTCTTGCTCCTACAACTTTCCACCAAGGATCTGTTCGTCATTGTCCCTTAGAGAACTAAATTGGTGGAGACTCCAGCTCTGCACATCTGTGGTGAGAAGAGCATGTGGAAAGTTGTGTTCTCTTTCTAAAGTGATGAAGATTATATAAGCTCACATTTCATTGGCCAAGAAAATTATGTGTGCCCATAGCCAGCTGCAGAAGAGGTGGGGGAGGGCCACCTCATCATGATTTTGGAGGGCTAGAAATATCTGACAGATCGCTCTCATTTCTCTCCCAGCTCTGGAGGTGGACCACTGGGGAGAAAAGCTGGCTCTGGGTTACCTGAGTGTAGACTTGTAACTTAGTTCCCATGTGCCTCAGTCCTCTCAGATGCAAAATAAGAACCGTGTCTACTTTGAAAACCACAAGTACTCAAGACATAAAGATTACTGTTCCTTTAGCTGCCATGTTTACTGACCTTTATGTGTTGGACAGTTTTCCCATTCTCACTAAATTTCTACATTAGCTTTAGTTTTCCCAGCTTCTTCACCTCTCTTGCACGGGACTGAGTATCTGTGATGTTTAAATCACTCACTGTTTTACTTTGCAGATGAGGGGACTGAAGAACAAGGGAGCTGAAATGAGCACTTCACCACATTAGCTTCCTTTCCAGGCTGTCCTGTCTATTCTGAAAACACAGTGTATAGAACTTAACATGGTGCTCCAGGTAGAATGGGGTGGCAGCAAAGTACATTAGGCTGCTTAGTTTTGTGGATTAGGAGACAGCACATGCTTGTGTTATGCAGGATTATACCTGATAATTAAGTATCTGTGTCCTACTATTGCTTTTGTAGTAAGCTCCCTGTCATTCACACTTTCAGAAAATGTTTATATAAATTGGTGTTAAGCCAGGATGACTCCATTATATGCAGCTACAAGTGAATTTATAAGAAAAACAAAATTTAAAAAAACCTCTTAATTATAGAATTTTACTTTTCAGCCCTCTTTATTCATCACTGTCTTAGCTCATCTTTCTATTCTACTGTGCTTTTGAATCTTAGTTCTGTGATACAGTGGTCCTGTCCCCAGTCTTGAGCCACCTACAGAACTGATAGAAACTTGATAGAAACTAACAATTTATGAACACTTTCTCGAATTGACACACTCAGTCCCACCTCACATGGGCAGTAACTATGGGGATCTAGAAAATAATAAATTCTGATTCTGGTGTCTGTTGCTCTGTGCATACTGGGAGACTGTTTCATTATTTCAGTTCAACCAGTCTCACCATGGTGTTAGCTCCTACCATGTTAATGTGTTGCAGGATAAGGACAGACCTTCCTTCCCCCCCACCACCAAGTCTTGAAACCTTACTCCATCTTGCCACCATCCTGTCCATCAGGAGCGCTAGGAGACCAGCTGCAGCACCTGTAGCACAGTGCCACAAAACAGATCCTGCAAATTGGTCACAAAGCTATCAAAAGAAACTTTTTTTAAAAAAGTAAACATATCTCAGTAAAATCAAAATAAACTTTATATGTGATATAGTTAAGTAAATTATTTTATTAAAAACACTGTGAAAGGGTTAAGTAGCACAACTGTTTGGTAAAATAAAATGTCTCCAAGCTATACTCTGAATGCCCTGTTCCAGGTTTAATGCACCCCTAGGAGCTAATCCTATAGTTCTGGATCTACCCGCAAACATGTTTTTAAGTAATGAATTCAGATTTTTTCATGATAGGCATTGGTTTTACTAAAGTTTGCCACAATTGGCTCATGTAGCATTTTGTTTATGATTTTTGAAGTACACAGAAGCAATTCTAAGCAAAAAGTACTTATCATCATTTCACAGGAGGCTTTTTGAAGCATAGTCAGTTTTCCTAGCATCAAAAACTGTATTAATGGGAGAAGAATGACACATGATTTTCCAAGAGCCAAATGGTCATGCCAGTGTGTTGGCATGTACAATGGCAACCGGTGGGGCATCCTAGTTCCCTGCTGCTCCCGTGGTCCACTTGGGTTTCCTTTGTGAAGTCAGAGGGGCTCTAAGTACGTAGAGAGGGAGACTATGAAACAAATAGATGTGGCTCTTACTGTTTTATTATTTTCTATTTGTCTTTTTTGCCCTGGGGTAAAAGTTTGCAAGATGCTTCTAAGAAATTGCCTGTACAATGGAAAACTGCTGAAAATAGCCTTGTAGATTTACAAAGGGCTTCATAGCAATCAGATCCACATCCTGCAGTGTGAATGAGTTTTACAAGGCTGCGCTGACAAAGGAAAGTTTGTATGTTTTGTTGTTGGTTAAGGAAAAAAAAAAATTTTTTTTTTTTTTTTTGGCTTACCTGGCTCACAGGCCATAGTTGAGATGGAAGGGTATTTCTTTACCCAAATTTGGCAGTGTTAAAATCCTTTCAAAACTTTGGTTTAGTTTGACAGTAAGCATTTGAGGAACATAAAAACGAGCCTTCTAAATAATGCTGCGATTGGCAGAGCTCCCTCAGAGTAATGGTCCCTGGAGACGGCGTTTTGCTGACGGCTCTTGTAATGTCTATGTCGGCCAGAGTGCTGTCTGTGATGGTTTCTCTCAGGGGCTGCTATATCTGATTCTCTTCATGATTAATCTCCAGTGGGCATTATCCCCGCAGTAATGTCCCTGTGAGATGTGGGTAAAGCTCACTAAGGAAAGGACGTCTGGCTGAGGAGACTGCAGTTGGTAACTGCAGGCTCAGCCTGGCATTTTCTGGAGGAGGCAGAAGGTCTCTTTAAGTGTATAGGCATGTTTGAATTAAGCTTCTAGAAAAGTGGAATGTTAAAATATAACTGCATTCTGCACAGACTCCTATG